TATTTTTCGTTGTATCGTTTATACTTTTCTCAATTCCCCTTTTCTCTTTAGTCAATATTTCTTACCACATTGTTCTGATTCATTGCATGTTTAATCAAAAGGAAGAAAATAAACGTGACACTGGTATTATCCACCTGTATTCAATTTCCCCATGTGTTTTGAATCGGTACTAAAAGCAGTGAATTAACTGATGGTCTTTAATATTGTTATGTCTCAAAATATCAGTAATATCATGCTTTCCATTACTGTAGCTTGTTTACCTGAGGAGGCGCGATAGCTCAGTCGGTAGAGCAGTGGTCTCGTAATCCGGTGACCCGGGTTCGAAGCCAAGGCGATGCGCTAGTGCCCTTTGGTAAGGCATTAATCCTTATTACCAGGTCCCTCGGAGAGGACCTAAAGCCGTTGGCCGTCTGGTTGCTTTCTTACAAGCATTTATGCTGACTTAGCAGTCAGGTATAATAACAACCACCACCAATACTTTCACATATTGGTATGAGCGCATCTTATTACATTGCGTGTATTTCCTTCTTGATATTATGCACCATTATATTTATTGGGCATCTCGCCAGGAACATGCTCAGATGCTCCACTATTGTCATCCCCCTAAAAAATTATTTTGCAATTTGCCTTATAATAATGAAAGGACAAAAAATAAAACATGGTCCATTAATCAGGAGCTGGCCAAGGTAGGACAAATTTTGTAGGGATCTATAAAATAAATGAGTTAGTATATTTTATTCTTCATGAATCTTCTCTCTAAATTCTCATTCTTCAATAACCGTTTTTTTAAAATAACTGTATTAATTCGATGTTGGGCTGAGCTACACCTTTAAAAGTGGTTATTCCCAGACTTCTGCACATGGATAAAGAGCGCATGCGCCTAAAAACATGGCTATTAAAGAATATTTTGTTTGTTTTTTGCCCCCTTCCCCAGTTGAGAAACTTTCTTTGACAGGCATAGCTCGAGGAATCATAACATCTATTTGTGTAAAACATACAATGTATTCAAAAGTTATTAAATCAAATCATCGTGAGGATCTTATTGATAAGTACAACAAGTACAGAAGTGTACTGACCACTTTGCTAAATAAAATCAAAAAAAAAAAAATTACTAATGCAATTGGTTTATGATAATACAAAGGACACAACTAAAACATGGGGCATTAACAATGAATTCGAAACTGGCCAAGATATGCCAAATTTCGTGGGTATCTATAAACTGAATGAGCTAGTATATTTTATTCTTCATGAATCTTGTGTCTTAATTCACCTAAATACGGTTACTATTCCGTTATTTTTTTCTACATTTTGTTGAAATTAATTCGATGTTTAGGCTGGGCTACACCTTTAAAAGTCGGTATTCCCAGATCCCCCGCACATGGATAAATAGCGCATGCGCCTGAAAACATTCTTTTACAGCAAGCAATAATCTGTTTCATTCTCGGAGCTTTCTTGTGTGAAGCATTCTTCAATCTCCTTTCAATTAATGATAGTCTTCAGCTATTTTCTAACAAGGGGTACCTACTTCAAAAGAAATCCGGCATAAAAGTCAATAGACTCGAGGTAAGACGTACTCAATGGGAATGCTGTTGCATGCATTTACCTTTTAATTTGTAAATTCTTAATTTAGCCTATTTAATGGAAATTTTCTTCTCTCCAATCCAATCCAATCCAATCCAAAAGATATTTGATATAGCGCCTTTTCCTTGCAGTTACAAAGTGCTGCTCACACGCTCTCACACACGCTAAACCTGCTCTCATAATTTCATATGTAATTTCTCAATTAAGGCTATTCAATGTGAAATTGTCCTGCATCATTTACCCTTTCATATTATGATTTTCAATTAAGCCGAACGTCCTCGATGTTTAATTGTCTTGCATGCATTAATTCACCCTTTCATTTTAAATCCACAAGAGATTCTCAATGTGTAATTGTCTTGTTTGGCAGTATGCTTTCATCTTTCTTTCTTTTTTATTTGAATTCTCAATAAGATAAACCGTTTATTATCGTATGGACAGTAACTGAGAAACATATTTCGCGTTTTATCGTTGATACTTTTCTCAATTCCCCTTTTCTTTAGTCAATATTTCTTACTACATTGTTCTGTTTCATTGCATGTTTAATCAAAAGAAAAAAAAAATTGTGACACAGGTATTACCCACCTGTATTCAATTTCCCCATGTGTTTTGAATCGGTACTAAAAGCAGTGAATTAACTGATGGTCTTTAATATTGTTATGTCTCAAAATATCAGTAATATCATGCTTTCCATATTGTAGACATTGTAGACATTTTTGTTCTTGTTTTTTTGCTATAAAATAATATAAAGGACACAAATAAAACATGGGCCATTATAAATGAATTGGAAGATGGCCAAGAAATAACAAATTGTATAGGGATCTATAAAAATAAATGAACTGGCTTGTATTGTTTTTTGTTGTTATTAGAACAATATTAGTGGAAAGTATAACAATCTACATACTATGTGCATTAGCTATTTTCATTTAGAAATTTCATATTTAGTGCTCCCAAATAAATGTGCATATAATGTGGCAACTCTAAAGGGTCTTTGTGTATAAAGTGATGTCTTAATGTCAGTGAATGAAATTATATTTTCAGATCCACATAATAAACATAATTCGCAAAATAGGCAAATGAACATTGGTCATATGTTAATAAGTACCCGATTGTTATAACTCAAATGCCCCACACTATATTGTTAATGTTACTAAACAAGGTGCATACATTTTGAGGTCCAAAGTTTCAGCCCGGTTTGCCTGATATGCAGAAAAATCCATATTGATTTTTTGATTTGATAATATCAATTTTTAACATTTTGTATGAGCTTCTATTAATAAATGTAAATATTCATTTTTATTTTCTAATTTGCCAGCTAAGAACCCGGTTTGGTCAATTCAAATGGATTGATAATAATGGCATTGTCACTGAACATGTAATCCATCTCTTTCTTATTTTGTATTGCCTATTTTTATTTTCACTATTATCTTCTTTTCTCTTCTCTTCTCTTCATTTCTCTTTCTTCCCTTCCCTTCCCTTCCCTTCCATTCTCTTCTCTTCTTTTCTCTTTTTTCACTTCCTTCCTTTCCATTCCAATCTCTTTCTTCTTTTCTCTTCCTTCCCTTCCTTTTTCTTCTCTTTTTTTCTCTAATCTACTCTTCTATTCTCCCCTCTCTTTCCCCATCCCCCTTCTCTTAAACGACATGTATGCATGTGTAGATAGGGGGCGTATATGCCTATGTGTGTACACTTTCTGCTGCTTTATATTATATCCACATCTTGTCAACCATGTTTTGTCATTTGAAGTGCTCTGTTCCAAAAAAACATTTTTTTTTGTTTGCATTAATGTACACATTCCCAGTAGTAGCCTCATACACTGACACTTCCAAAAGTCTGAAAGTCTCAAAAATGGCATTGAAACACCAGTTCGGTTCCAAAAGGCACTATATCCAATCAAGTCATTAATTGTAACTTGCATACAGTATGCAATATGTTCGGTTCTAAAAAGTACTACATCCACAACAATTAAAACCACATAAATTAATGAAAAATATTTGTGCAGACTTAGATTTTGTTAAAGAGTGGTTTTATACTTGAATCATACAATACAATAGTCTAATCAGCTAAAGTATCATTCCCAACTGACATTGCTAACTATGACAATTAAAAAAAATCGTTCGGGGTAGCTTTCGTTTGTTTGATGTATCCCAACCGTTTTTCTACTAATGTGTTATAACTGTAACTTTCTGGCAATCATTCGATAAACTATGCATTTGTATTGAATATATTCTTTATTTCTTAATGATGAAATAAATATAAACATGAAATTGATTCAAATGAGAATCATAATTGTTCTAAGTTCACAAGAGTTGCCGTAAATAAAATTTACGTAGAAAGCACTTAGGTAGTATGAATCTGCTTAAATATCACAAAAACAGAAGGGAAAAAATTATTCCCACGATTCCGACAGATGTGTCTCTATTGCAAACAAGGCTGTGTACACAACTTTTTATTGAAAAAAAGGGAGGAAAATTCCACAAATTTGTTCAAAAACATAAATATGCCTGCACTCATTGTGCAGACAGAGTCGAAGGCCGCGAGACCGATAACAATAGGTGGTGACGTCAGAAACGTATGGATATTTCCTTTTTGTTGGTCTTTCAAATTTGTGTAAACTTTAATTTTCATATTTGAGTGAGGTTTGCGGTTACACCACATATTCTTTCGACAGGGTTATTTATCTCTGAAAAATGCCCACTCATGCTCTGTATCGACGTTTCGAATGGTTGTACCAATCGTCTTCGGGATGAGTGTGTATAATGGGTCTATATACACTTGGGTTGGACCACTGCACAAGTCAGGGGGGTTATGCTCTTAATATTGTTGCGTATTTCTTGAATTGCCATTCTTCATGGGGGGTCTTTCACAAATTCTAAAATCAACTTTTAGTTGGACTTGACTATGGCAAGCCGTTCATACCAATGTTTGCTCTCACCATTAACTGGAATCGGTCTCTTAACGGACGTACAAATCAATGTCACAAATCTACATAATTTACTTTTTTGGATAATTCATTATAATTGAAGGAATATGTAATACCTAAATATCATAATGGTGAGAGCAAACAGTGGCATGAACGGCCTGTCATAGTTAAGTCCAACTTAAAGTCAATCTTAGTCTTTGTGAAACACCCCCCCCCCCCCTGTTTTGTATCTATATTACTGACCATGATCTGGCATTGGTTGAATTTTAAGCCCGATGCTGGGTGTATGCTTTAAACAAAATCGGATTTAAAAAAGGAAGTCCCTCTGACGTCTAAAGTTTAAATTTGTTAAACGTGATTTAGATAGACCTAGGCCCATTTTTATCCGAATTAGGATAGACTATGGGCCTATGGATTTTGTAAAGGTTAGTAGTTAGTAGTAAGTCGGAACATAACCTGATTTCTCACAATTCATTTCTATATATTTATGTACTTACAGGACTTGAGACGTTGAACTTTCTCGATTTCGACTGGTGCGATCGACCTTTTATTAGGCCAGCTGTTGAACGAACCAACAATGAGGTCGTTTGCTTTTCTCGCAATCTCAATACTGGTTGCCATGGCATCAGGCCAGGCTCCCTCGGACTATCAGGAGCCATTCCAGAACCCGGGAGAGATAATTTCTGGTTTGACCATCAAATTCATGATCAACGCTGCTGGTGGTATCTGGCAGCAGGATCGTATCATTGATTCGTTGGCCTATGTATGCAGAGGTGTCCTACCGGTAATCGGTTCGGCGGTACCGGAAGTGGACCAGTCAAGTCTGTATTGGGGTTTCGTCTGTGATAAAGTCATCGAAGCTTCTGAAGATCTGGATGCCTTTGACGCAACGGGATTCTGTAATGACATAATTACTGAGGTCAATAGCCTTATATCTCAAGACAGTGGCGGAAGATATCGCAGACAATGGGAACCAACTACGGAATACCCTGACTACATGGAAGATCCCCTGGGTATCCTTGGAATCCTGACCAACATCACCAGAGACCTCTATGGAATCGACATCAACATGATCATCAATGACCTATCTACAATCAACACCATCTGCACCAACGTCAAGGAGAATTTCCTGAGGCCATCTCTTCAAGATCTCATCTCTCAGTTCGGGGCTGAACTGATGAGTGCCTATCTACCCCAGGCAGCTCCGATATGTCAAGACTGGCAAGGCTTCCTTGCAGGTGCAGGCATCGATTCCACGTCGCCTTACTACAACATTATCCAAGATGGCGCTGGTATCGGATCTCACGCGGTCGGATATGACGACAGAGAGGATCTTTGTCAACATCTTGAGCAAGCACTATCGGTGCAAGGTAAGATAATGATTTTTACTTAATGTATTGCTAAAATATAGACATCTTCTTTTCTTTTTATTTCTTCGTGCCTACCGATTTATATTCAGTTATCCGTCTTGGTTACTGAGAAATGTCACTTCAAGGCCAGAAGGATATGTGTTAAGGCCCACCTGGCTCCATACAAACGATATGTCAGTTGATCGCGACCGTGTAATCGTTGGGTGATGAACGACTAAAGAACATATAGAAACCTTGTTTGTTTGGCCCATTTGATATTTAACTAGTCTGATAATTAAATAGGATGCTTGCCGCTTATTCTCCGCTTCGACTTAGCCATTCACAAGTCGCTTTTTCCTGAATTTGTAGTGTAATGTCGATTTAAACCCGCAGTTGTCTTTGACAGTAGTGAATGCATGATAATGATGGTTTAGCTATATGAAAGCCAAATGTACAAAACAAGCAAACGCTTGGTCCCTGTTTATCATTCAGATACACTGTGTACCGCTACAGCATGACGTCACAATGTTTTACTGATCGGCCGATGTCGTCCTGTCAAGGACGATACATAGATCCCTGTTTTGTAGACAGGGTCGTCCTCGATTTCTAATAGTTTTCACGAAGTACAGTATATAAGCTTACTCTCTCAGTGATCCAATCTCAACGTGATCCTAAAGACTTCCGAAAAGACAAGATACTTTCCAATAACCATGTACACCATCATGTAAGATGGGCGAACATTATAATGATATCAATAGGACGTTATCCGAACTTGATTATTTGAGGCAAACTTATGTGTTATTAAAATGTCCTTACTTTGATTTCTGGAAAGTCTTTGTGATATTATGATGCTCATAATTTGTTTTGCTTCTTGTTTGTTTTGCAGGAGATAACAACGCCGCAAGGAGAACGTTCTCCATGGACATCATCTCCGAAATCTTCGCTTCCATGGAGGAGGCTGACAGATGTACTCCATTGGCTAATGACGTCATTCGCCAGGTCATCCAGCCCCTCATACGTATGGACTTACCCGCCTATGTGCTTTCGAACGAAGAGATTCTTGCTTATACCGGCATTGATGGTGGAGTGGCAGCTGTTTGTACAGCAATGGAGAACGCTGTCACGTGTAAGTTCATAAACTGTGATAATATTAAACGTATACACTGTACTATTATAAAACAAAAAGAAGAAGCAGAGAGAAAAAAGAAAACATATTTTATATGTTCGTTTCATGAAAACGACGCTCAGAGATTAGATTTCGATTCGATCGTCGGCTGCCGTAAATGCCATGAACATTACATACCTGTAACGCCCTTCTTGTCGGCAGGTAGCCGACGGGATTTTTATTTATATTTTAATTAACAGAGCTCACGTTGTAATGTACTGTACTTTCTTTGGTATTCTTTGCTCAATTTTTAGCAGATAACATGTTTACAAAAATTAAAACACAAGGGTTAGCCTGTAGTATATTAGAAAAGCGTTTAGAGTCATCGTGGATAGTTTAATTGCCATACAAATGAAGATGTATTAATTACTGAGTCAGCGACTGGTGCGGTGTGGGGGAGGGGGGGGGGCATCGTTAAGTGAAGTTGTTCAAAAGGTTTGTGAAAAATATACAGAACAGACGCTGGGCTAATGATGATACAAAATAACTTGACACTTCATGAGCAATGTGGATTAGAATTTATTGAAACTTACTTGACTCTGGTTGCTCATTTATATCGATTGATCCGTTTGGCGATAAGTAAAATGGCTTTTATTTCATTTCTAATCTCAGATGAAATAGACCTCCCAGACCCTGTTCCGGTTCAGATCATCTATGGGACCACACTGACCGTTGAGTTCTTCTTGAATGCTGTTGGTGGCATCTGGCAACAAGACCGACTCATCGACTCCCTGGCCTTTGTATGTACAGACGTCTTACCTGAGCTCGAATCGATGGTACCCGACTTTAAGTCTCTCGTTAAAGATTCCTGGGATTATAAGCCAGTCTGCGGGAGGATCCGCGATGCAGCTAGTAACTTGGAGGCATTTGACGCGACGGAATTCTGTAAAGACGTAACCAAGATAGTCGACGACTTGATCTACGGCCCGGGAACTGGTGAAAGGGTTCGCAGGCAGGCAGACCCATACATGGATATCCTAGACATCATTGCGAATATCACCAAAGAACTCTACAACATTGACATCAATGACCTGTCGACCATCTGTCCAAACATCGCCCAGTTCCTGGACAGGTCCATTCCTGATATCATATCGGAATTCGGTGCTAAGCTGATGGTTGTCTATCTACCCAATATAGATGGTATGCTCTGTCAAAACTGGGACCAGACAATTAGGTCGTTGGGGATAGATTCTACTTCGGCGTTGGGCGACGTTGTCCAGAATGCTGCTCGTATTGCATCCCAGGCTGCAGGATATGAAAGCAGACAGGCTCTCTGCCAAGAAATCACCAGAGTACTAGCCATAACAGGTGACGTCTTTAGGGGACAAATAATATTCTGAAGGAAAAACGAAGTTAAAACCGAACTTACATTAATGAGCTAATGCGGTAAATTATTTCAACAACAAAAAACACCACTGGATAAAATCCTTATATAGTGTTTCTGCAGAGTTCTATCTCCCTATTAACCTTGTAAGCCTAATTGTATCTCTACGCATTTCTTATATTGAGCTCAAACTACAATGTGATGTCTCTGATGGTTTGCAGAAACCGATCAGGTTTAAGTCAAGAAATTCATTGGGACTATGCCTTCTATTTACATGAATAAATTGGGGTTAAATAGAACAATTTCTTCCCGAATACTAACAAAGCTTTGAAGGCGTTAATTTAGAGTTTTCTGATATTCCAACTAAAGAACAAGCTTTAACAAAAAATAAACTGGTGTCATTAATTCGGCCATCATTTAGTTTACAAAAGTTAAATAATTTATTTAATTATAGAGTCGTAGTGAGGAATCGATAGCAGAAGACGTCGGTACGGATGTTTCTTTCAACAATTCGTATGTGTTTTTATTTGTAATACCACATCATTTAATCATACTTCTTATTATAGTTATACATGTTCTTAAACGCATATTCTTATCTCGAATTGTTTTATATTCGTATATCTATACAGGAGATGATAACGAAGAGCGTCAGACTTTTGCCAAGAATATCATCGAGAGCAGTTTTGAGATTTATACAAACAACGACAGGTGTTCAATGTACTTCAATGACGCCATCGATGACATCATCGAACCAATCTTTGAGATTCAAAACCTTCAGATTAAAATCAGCGATTATACCATTTATCGTTACACCGGGTACATGGGCGTAGAAGAGGTCTGCGAGGCACTGGAGACAGATTTCACGAGTGAGTCTAAATTATTGGGGAGGTTTCGAGGTATATTAGTTTATTCACCTGTCTTTTAGTAGACCGGTTTACTTAAAGCTACGGTCACAAATGTTCGTACGGCCGCCTTGCGAAGAGAGGGTTTCATACGAGTTTAAAAAAAAATCTTGGACAAGACCATCGACCAGTCTGTGAACTTACGAACGGTCTACGATCTACGAACGCTGGTTACGTACGACCTTCTTAAGAAGATCTTACGAAATGGTCTGAAATCGTTCGTACGGTGTTCATAGCAGCTCGTAATGGTATTTGTGACCGAGGGTCAATGTACATGTATTTCGTTTTATAAATGAAATTTCCCCTAAGCACAGGTTACCAGTCATTTCGTGTCCCTATGGATGGAATTCACTGTGCATATATTAAGTGTTGCCATGTCGGACAAACATTCCCTTTTTTTTAGTTGTCAAGAGAGTCTTTTGTTTAAAAGGTATGCGTAAAATAATTTAAAATGTATATTCAAGGGTTGAGGGTTCGAATCCCAGCCAGCTGACATAAATCTACATTTGCCAATCCCACCAAGGTGTAGCAAGCATGGGCGTAAATCCTTACGTAATACCTATTGTTCAGGGGGGGGGGGGGGATTAATAAATAGATCATCCCCCCTGAACAATAGGTATTACGTAAGGATTTACGCCCATGGTATAGCAAGCATTTGCTTAAGTGAAATTATGATTCTATTATTATTATTATCATTATTATTATTATTAATATTCGTCCTGTTATTATTATTATTATTCATCCTTTTCTTCTTAATATTATCATAACATTTCCTCGAGCCTTTTTTTCGTTAATCAGTGGGAGAGCACTGTTGAACATTGATGAAGGATTGATTTTCATATGAGAAGTTCCGGGTTCGATCCTTTCTCGGTGCTTACATATATATTTAGACACGTTAGACAATATGTTTTACCCACTTTTTTGCAACTCTCTACCCTTGTCTATTAAGATATACATGTCATTTGGCAAGACATTAATCTACTTTTGCCAGCCTCTACCCAGGTGATGCAAATGGGTACCTGGTAGGAATTTATTCCCTGAATGTTCTAGCGCCTCACGTCAGCTTGGCTAAAGCAACGGTAATAATAACACTTCCGAAGCACCCTGAGCAGCCCATGGGATCATACGAGCGCGATATTGTTTTAGTAGATATACTATTGTTTCGACCCCGACGAAGAACAGTATTATCAGTTATTGATGAGGCTTTCCTAGGTTGATTAGACTATCATTATCAAATTTGGTTAAAATTTGATGCACTTTTTCCTCAAAATTTTGTTTCCGATTCCCAGAGCTTTCTACTAGCACTGTAACGATGACTCTGACAGGCGAGAGACTAAACGGAGAGCTTCTTGTGTTCACTGATGATCTGAAGAACCAGGCGTCTCCTCGCTTCAAGAAGCTTGAAACGCTGTACTGTGGAGTGGTAAGTTTGAAACAATGATTAAACATTGATAGTGAAACAACAACAACAACGATGACGACAACAATGATAATACCTCAAGTTATGATTTTAACTCTACTTCTACTACTACTACTATTACAACTACTAATACTGCTACTAATACCACCACTACTACTACTACTACTACTACTACTACTACTACTATTGTACAACAACTGCTACTACTATTTTACAACTACTACTACTGCTACTACTATTATTGATAATAACAACGATAACAATAATGATAATAATGATAGTAATACAAATAATAAAAATCAACATCATTGTCATCATCATCATTATCATCATCCATTGTTGTAAAACACATATACTGTCCTTATGGATAAACATGATTGAGAAGCTCGCTCAACGTACGCAGCAGGGTTGGCCGGGACGGTACATTCCCCGCAGAGGACAAGCGAAAGCACAGGCGCACAGTTTTCTCAACTACAAATAATTTGACGGTCACCGACAATACTACTACTACTACTACTGCTTCTACTAAACAGACAGGCGTAAATAGTCAATTTTGACTGAACGCCCAAAATACAAACAACAACATCAACACATGAACCTGCTGTTTTGAATATCATTTATCAGCAGGGAATCCAACATATAATGATCAAAACGTTTTGGTCACCTACAAAAGGCCAAATTGTATTAAGTCAAACCATATATGTTCATGAAAATGTATATATGATCAAGAAAGAAAAAAAAGATGCAGAAATCAATAAATCAAATCAAATCAAATCAAAATTCAAATAAATGTTTGTTTTTCCTTCCTAATAGATAGGGAATCATCTTAGGCGGGAGTTAGGATCGGACCTTCGAGGTATGGACTGTGTAGCCACGTCTTTCAGCCCTGGCAGCATTATCGCTGAGTTGGAGATTGAGATTCATGCCTACACTCAGGATGATGCTGATTCTCTCGCTGAGGATGCGGTAGACCTGTCTACCAGCGGCACTCTCATCCTCTCCTCCGATGGAGAAACCTTGACAGTGTCCTCACTTCAAGGATCAGGATCAGGTAATAGACTGTCCAGGGAGCGGTTTGATTAAAGCCCCACTGCATTACTTATAGCTACTTCCGCCCTCTATATAGCAAATAATGCCTAATCGGTGCCTGTTGGTCCCCCATGATCCACTTTTTCTTATGTTAATTGAGAGCTGATTTGATGAGATAACCACCTGTCCGTGACCTGGCAGGGAGGTCTAATCCCCCTGGCCAAACTGGTGCAGACGGGCTTATTAAGAGGCATCGCTGCGGGGTAGGAGCTCCAAATCCCTCCATTCATTACAAACAAATGTTTTTTTTTTTTTTAATATTTTGCTGAATTTTTCCTTTTTAGACAGATAGTTTAGGGAATTTTCTAACCCAGTTTAAAAATCGCTGAATTGGTGACTCCATGTCTTTATTTTGTTTTGCTTTGCTTTGTTATGTTTTGTTTTTGTTTGTTTGTTTATTTGCTGTTTATTTGTTTGTTTAATGTTGCATGCCGGGAAACAATTTTATCTCTTTGAAGGCAAATTGGAATATCTTTGAAACCTTTATTTGGGGAGAGGGGAGGGGAGGGGGGGGGGGGGGGCTTACGTATGTACAAGTTTAAGCTGACTTCACCCCCTTCCACTACGACCCCCTCCCCCCCCCCCCCCTCCGCCATTCTAATTGGTCTAGTGACATCATTCTAAGTGTGATCTTAAGAATCACAGGAGTCACTTCCTAATATGAAGGAAATCGCCAGAGAATAAATGATCGAATTACTCTCTTTTGGAGAGGATCTACAGTCAATTCTTAAAGTCGAATTCCACTCCCAAATAGAAAGATTCCTACTAAGGCATTCCAAATTAGACGAGGCTCTAAGACCTATACGAGTTGATTCATAATATGATTTTTAAAAGACCCGATTCAAAGATATCAATCATGACTCCAAACATGTACATAACTTTGCATATAGAGACTATACTTATAACTCTTTTGAAATACATTTCAGTTCAGTTAATTTTATTCAAAACCACACAAACATGATATCATCTGTTACATAAAAAAGAAACTGGTAATAGTACATCAATCAACAACTTGATTACATCATAAACTGAACATCTTCTGACGTGTTCCCTTCTTTTCAGCCGGCCAAGGGGGTGGTGGCTTGGCTACGGGAGCCATCATAGGCATTGTCATTGCGGTCGTCGTGGTCTTGGTGGTCGTCCTCATCATCATCGCCGTCGTCGTGCACTCCAAGGGAAAAGGCACAAGGGATACGTGAGTATTAAATACCAATACATTGCAAGGTAAAGGATTCGATTCCCTGTGCTTGTTAGATGTAATACACCCTTTCACGGTAACAAGAGTGCGCATGCGCCGACACTGGCGCCATTTTAAATTACGAGAAAATAAGTTGTTTCGTAATTCAAAGGTGGCGCCCATGTCAATTAAAGCGTGAGGCGCAGTCAGTGACGCAACAATACATAATTATGTGCATCTGAAAACAGTGATGGTGCAATATTTACTCGTAAATTAAAATGGCGGCCTTAACCGTAAAAGGGTGTATTATAGGTGCAGGGTTCTAAACCCCGGAACAAAAAGCTTAGCACTTGATCGGATGATTGATTCGGTGCGATTGATGGCACATAGGAATCAATGCAATTAATCGCAAAAAATAATCGTACGATCAATTGCTATGTTAGTATTACAGGACCTAGATCCATATAATGTTCTCGCTACGCATAATACCGATCGATCACGGGGTACAGGATGCCTGGCCCCTGTACTTGTCAGGTTTAATACCAAACAATAACAATGTATAGGTTCCGATTCCCTGTACTTGTTAATACGTTAATCTTTCAACTCATAAAAATATTTGCACTATTGAACTCGTAAACAAATACATTTTGTGTATACTACTGCACGCTTTTTTCTCTGTAAATGAATCACACATGACTGCATTTAACATATCATTTGGTTAGGATGTAGGAGTGAGTTGTATAACTAGAGTGTGTGTGAGGTTATTATATTCAACATTTCTTTTTTGTATTATCTGTGCAGTGAGCGCGGAGTAGGAATGCAGAACCCAGGATTCTCTAAAGATGAGCACCAATATAGTAAGTAATACTATCCCGGATACTGTTAAGCCATTGACTACTGAATTCTCTAATCCCCATTGGCTTAATACAGGGACCACCATGTTCCAGTAGGTTAGGGGTCAATTCTGCAGATTTAGACAACCTCCCCTATCGAGAACTTGAATAATGAATAATCATCATACGAATTTTTATAATTGTGCTTAAATTGTGTATTCGGACAGTAATTTCATTTAAAACAGAAATTTGAAGAAGTTTACAAGCAATATTTCATAAATCTTTTAAGACTAATGCCGGACAAATATTCATGGTGGTGACTTGTGAGTGCTATTTTATATTAATATGTACCGTAAATCTAAAGGCAAAAGAGAAATCTCCATGTCCAGACACCTAATACATATAATAATTCTGCTCTCTTTAAACGCATACGGATGTAATTATTCAATATTCAAGAACAACACTATATTGCAATAATTACAAGTGTTTTCGTTCTTAATAATCATTAAAAGTCATTATTATCATTCTTCATCATCTTCTTCTTCTCCTCCTTCTTCTTCCCCTTCTTCTTCTATTTCCATTTCTACGTGATTTTTTTTTTCTTCTTCTTCTTCTTCTTTTTCTTCATCTTCTTTCTCTTCTTCGTCTTCATCTTCTCTTCTTCTCATTCTTCTTCTCCTTCTTCTTCTCTTCTTATTCTTCTTCTTCCTCGTCTTCTTTTTTTCCTTCTTCTTCTTCCTCCTCTTCTTCTTCTTCTCTTCTTCTCCTTATTCCATTTAATTTCTTCTTCTTCCTCTTTTTTCCTCCCTTCTTCTTCTTCTTCTTCATCATCATCTTCTTCTTCTACTTCTTCTTCAGCCTTCCTTTTCTTCTATTTTCTCTTATTCCTCTTCTTTTCCCTTTCTTCTTCTTCTTCTTCTTCTTCTTCTTCTTCTTCTTCTTCTTCTTCTTTCTTCGTCTTCTTCCTCTTATTGTTCCTCCTCTTCTCCTTCTTCTTCATCTTCTTCATCTTCTTCCTATTCTTCTTCTTTTCATCTTCTCAGTACTTCTCCTTCTTCTTCTTTCTCTCCTTCTTAGTAGTATTAGTAGTAGTACCATGTAGTAGGTAAAGAAATACATAATAGAGATAGTAGAAGTAGCAGTAGTTGTATTAGTTGTAGAAGTAGTAGTTTTGCAAGAAGTAGCTGCATCATCACCATTATAATCATCACTTAATTTGTTTTTTTCTGTATCCAGAGAAATAACTGTCTCGGATTGATCTTGGCTGCAGCACAACAATCCAGACAGAAATTCATGGATGGATCGTAATAAGCAGAATTGCACCCTCAAGGGCTTTCATCATTGAATGTTAATTTAAAGCTCTTCATTTATTTGGCTGAACATAATGGTACGTTCTGCATAACGTAAAATATATTACTCAGATTACACCTTTATTCAGTTTGCGTACGTAAAATATATTACTCAGATTACACCTTTATTCAGTTTGCGTTTGAACTCAGATAATGCTTTTATTTTATTTGAGAGGCCTTTGATATGAACTGGAATTATAATTCGCTGAAATGAAATGTACATCATTAACAAAATTATTGATTTGCATTTTTTTTAAAGTTAATAAAAAAACATATAAACCCAGTTTCCATGTTTATTAATGGTGTCGTGGTTTAGCGGATACATCACCGCTGACTGGACTGTGGATCGCATGGTCCGTGGTTTATTCCCGCCTCGGCACTAATGCTTTTTGCCACTCTCCATCCTGGTGAAGTAATGCTTTGGCGCCTGATCATGGCGGTTAGCTAGTGCAGGGGGTATTAATGTGATGCTTTATATTAAGCACAGTGGAGTATATTCATATAGAAGCTACACTCTCTAAATAGAAGTAATTCTTATCATTACATTTTTTTAAAGGAAAAACTGGAATATCGTTATGGAAGTGGCTTAAAGTGCTCAACTGGAACTTATAGAAACAAATTCTTCCCTTGTTCCATTAATTTTAAGCTGTGTGAAAATATTATTTTCTTGGTTATGATAATGCGAGCTTCCAAGTACTTTCTGGATAATTTGTTGCTGTGTTTGTTGTTGTAATAGAACATTGATATTGATTAATAGATCCATTTGATTTCTTCTTTGATTTATCGTTGGTACATGGATATAAATGTCTGTACATTTGTATTATGTTTATGTTGACTGTAAAAATGCTATGTGATCTATATCAAATATAAAAATATAAAAAAGGAGAGGACATTGATGTTCAGCGTAGATGTACATCAGTGAGGTTTTTTCTTATTATACGTAGAATATGCAATACACAGATATTAGTATGGAGTATAATTCCAACTATACAATTTTCTACTTTTTTCCAATGAAAATGGTAGTATAGATATCGCTTAGAGATGAATAAATACCCTTCTTGTCTACGTAGCTGTTGGTCCATTACGTGGTCTAATCAGTGGCAACCATTTTGCAAATATCTTTGTTTTGGGATCAATAGAAGGTACCTCTGGAATGTAATTGGAGTAACGTCTTCACCTTCATTCCCTTTCTTTACCATAATTCTTTGCCAAATCTAGAAAATGATTTTGGGGACTAACTTGATGTTCTTTTGAATAACTCCTTCATTGATAGTGCACGTTGTATCTTACCATTCCAAATTAATAATACGATGCCTCTGAGAATTCATTAGAGTAATGTTGCTACACCTTTTCTATGGCCAATTTTATCAGAGGACATTAGGCCAAATTTTGAAAATTGACAGTTTTTGTAAAAACTCTGATGACTGTTTAGTTTTTCGTATTATTGGGTATTCTGATGTACATGATTTTAAGGTTTTCAAAAATATAACATGATTAAACAAGTGGCTTGAATACTTTATCATTGTATATTTGCGATTTTTTTTAAAAATCCTTGAGTAATGAATTAAATTCATTAAGAGTGTATCTCCCTCTAAGTGTTCAGTACTATTCAATGTAATATCTGAATTCTTGAAGTTCATGCCTAGGAGTAAAAGATAATTATATAAACAAAAGTCATGAATATTCGTGTTTTCATTGGGATGTTGCCTTCCTGTTGGGTAGTGTAAATGAGTATCCGGATACCTACCCCCAGGATAACAACAAATAGGATAACCATCCTCTAGGACAATTAACACCTAGCACAACTTCCCCCGGTCAACTTCCCCTGGACAACTATTCCCCGGACAACTACCTCCAGACAAATACCACCTAGGATAGTTGTCCGGGGGTAGTTGTCCTAGAGGATTGTTGTCGTAGGGAGTGGTTGTCAGGGGGTAGTTGTCCGGGAGTAGTTGTCTTGAGAAAGTTGTCCTAGGGGTCAATTGTCCGGGGTAGTTATCCGGGGGTAGTTGTACTATGTGGATATTCATCCTAGAGGGGGGTTTGGGGGGGTTAACCCCCCTTTGGTAATTTTATGTATGTAACCCCCCCTAAAAAAAACTAAACCCCCCCCCCTTTTGATTTAATAAAAAAATAAATAAAAAAATAAAAAAAATTATTCCCACGACCGACCTAAAAAAGGTGACCTTACCCCCAACCCCCCCCCCCAACTGAGCAAAATACGAAATGTCCAAATTTCGAGACCCCCCCCCAAAAAAAGTGTCCTCTTACCCCCCCCCCCCCCCCCGCTTATTCAGCGGTCGGCTGAGTCGTTGCGTTTTTTTTTGGGACCCCCCCCCAAAAAAAAAGTGTCCTCTTACCCCCCCCCCCCCCCCCCCCTTGAAAAAATCCTGCGTACGCGCCTGCTTCCACCTGTGTATCATGGAGTGCACTGAATGTGCACTGAATAAATTATGTTACATAACTTTCATGAGCACGTATCCAGTATTTCGTCTCCGTGTATTTCAAAATTTGTTCTGCAATGACCTTTATCTGCTCATGCTCAGACTGCAACCGTGAACCACAGAATTATAAGAAGTGTGCCGTGAACTGGTTCCCTACACACTTGATTCAAGCCGTCGAAGATGGCGTTATCAACAAACTCATAATTATGCTCACCAGCCCAGCCTGAGGTCACGCCATCATCGGCTGGTAGCAAAGAAGTAGGGAAAGGTAGCTGTGGGTGTGTGTGTGTGTGGGTGTGTGTATGTGTGTGAGAGAGAGAGAGAGAGAGAGAGAGAGAGAGAGAGAGGAAGAAATAGAAATAGAAAGAGAGAAAGAGTGTGTGAGAGAGAGAGAGAGAGAGAGAGATAGAGAGAGGGAGGGATAAAGACAGAGCGAGTCGAGAGGGGAGAGAGAGAAAGATAAATGAAGATAGAGGAGAGACAGGGGGAAGAGATAGGGGAAGAGAGAAAGAGACAGAGAGAGAGAGAGAGACGGGGGGGGGGAGAGGCCTTTTCATGTGTAAGAGAATATAATTCCATTATCTTTGTTACAACATTTGCTTTATACCATTTCGTGATATTTCCATTTTACTGTATATACATACTCACTGGCGTACTGGTGAGGGTGCTTGGGGGGGGGGGGGGGGGGGGGGGGGGCTTCAGCCCCCCCAAATAAAATTGAACCATGACATTTTTTCACAAGTGATGTATATGTTCGTGATATCACATGATTTTCAACAAAATGCTAGTTTCTCCATTTATTCTTGCAAACTGACCCATTCCCACAAAAAGCCAGGAAGAGCTTATGTTTTTTATAGTCACTAAGGGCCTTATAGTGGCCACTAACAGTAACACTGGTAAAAAATCCTTTCCAGAAGCTTTGTGCAAAGCACTCCCGGGAGATAACATGCTACCTACCACTCGGGCTGAGCATGCACAGATTTGCGAACAGCGTTCCATTCTTACACCATGTAACACTGCACATATAGTGGGGGAAATTGAATTCAGACAAGATTAAGCGTAGAGAACGGTACAACGAATCGTCTTCTTTCTCTAATAATTTAATGAAACGGCAAAGCCTTCCGCGCTTTGCACGGGAGGGGGAGGGGGGGGGATTGAATTCAGACTAGGATTAAGAGTCGAGAACGGTTTTGATGAAACGCGAAAATGATTTCAGACAAGGATTAAGAGTAATAATTAATTAAAACGACAAAGCTTCCGCGCTTCGCGTGGGAGGGGGAAAACTGAATTCAGACAAATACACGATAAAATGAATAATCTTCTTTCTCTATAAATTTATTGAAACGTGATAGCTTCCGCGCTTCACGCAGGATGGGCGAAAATGAATTCAGACAAGGGTTAAGAGTAATAATTTATTGAAAGACAAAGTTTCCGCATTTCGCGCGGGAGGGGGACTGATTTCAGACAAGAATTAAGAGTCGGGGTTGAAACAATGAATCGTCTTCTTTCTCTAATTATTAAATGAAACGTCATAGCTTCCACGCTTTGCGCAGGAGGGGCGAACCAAGAATTAAGAGTCAAGAACGGTACAACGGATCGTCTTCTATCTCTAATAATATAATGAAGTGTCAAAGCTTCCGCGCTTTGCGCGGGAGGGGGGGGGGGGAACTGAAAAAAATAATTAGTTCCTGGCCCCGGGTTTATGGGGTTAAAATTGTAGGCATTTGGACATTGGCATTTTTATATTTGTTGGTAATTGGTGGCTCGTTTTGTCGGTAATCGGTGGCCTCTACACCCTTCCCCCCTCCCCCACTGAAAAAGATCTAGCCGCGCCCCCGATAACGACACAGTTTATACACTCGAGATAATTTTTGCAAGTACTACAGTGAAGTACCGGCATCAAAGCATAATCTATACAACGTCTCACGACGTGTCAGATCACTTTTCTCTAACTTCTAACGAATACCCTCCCGCGCAAAGCGCGGAAGCTTTGCCGTTTCATTAAATTATTAAAGAAAGAAGACGATTCGTTGTACTGGTCTCTACTCTTAATCTTGTCTGAATTCAAGAAGGCCTCTTTTTTCCAGGAAGTGCCGGTGGACATTAATGCGCCAAATGTGGTTCTCAAATTGCAAAAGATCCCTACTCTTGGAAGGGGTAGGAGAAAGCAATTTTACGTCATATTATATTACTCCAGGAAGCAGGGGCGTCGCCAAAGGGGGGGGGGGGGGTGAGGGGGTGCGACACCCCCCCCCCCATCTGTCAGGATATTGTCGGTAAAATTGCGCTGCCGTCGGAAAAAGGAGAAAAGGGGGAGGGAAAAAAAGAGAGGGAAAAAAAAGAGAGGGAAAAAAGAGAGGGAAAGGGGAAAGAAAAGAAGAAAAAAAGGAAAAGAAAAGAAAGAAAGGAAAAGAAAGGAAAGAAAAGAGAAGAAAGAAAGAGAAAAAAGAAAAAGAGGGAGGAGAGGAAAGAAAGGAAAAGAAAGAAAAGAAAGAAAAGAAAAAAGAAGAAAAAAGAGTTAAAGGGAAACAAACGAAACGGGGGATGAAAGAGAGGAGAGAGAAGGGAGGTAAGAGTCTGAGAGAGGAGGAGTGGGAGTAAAAGAGAGAAGGGAGTTGTTGGGTGGAGTCGTCTCGTCGAGGGAGCAAGAAAGAAACGGGTAAATATGTTGCTGTGTCGGGTCAGCTGTGTCGGTATTCTTGATCGATCCTCTTGTACTATATCAATGCAGAAGTTTGAAGTCGGTGAGATGTATATTGTCGGTCGGCCGACAAGTTTTTTTCCCTACGAACTGTGTCTTCTTATCCGCTGTGACGACTTCGAGAGTGACTACAACTACAATACTTGTTTTTTCTCGAAGTTTCACTTTTCTATAATATCAGCTAAAGAAATCAGAGGTTAACATTTTCGGGAAAACTAAATTCAAACAAGATTTAAGAGTCAACAACGGTACGACGAATCGTCTTCCTTTCTATATATTGTGATGAAACGCCAAAAATTCCGTGCTTCGCGCGAAAGGGAAACTTCATTTAGTCGAGTCGAGAACGGTACAACGAATCGTCTTCTTTCTCTAATAATTTAAGGAAACGTCAAAGCTTCCGCGCTTCGCGCGAGAGGGGAAACTGAGTTCAGACAAAATTAATAGGGCTTATTTAGAGTCGAAAATGGTACAACGAATCGTGTTCTTTCTCTAATGATATGAGAAAACGTCAAAGCTTTCGCACTTTGCGCGAGAGGGGGGAAACTGAATTCAAAAGAATATGGCTTATTTAGAGTCGAAAACGGTACGACGAATCGTCTTGTTTCTCTAATAATTTTAATGAAACGTCAAAACTTCCGCGCTTCGCGCGGGAGGGAGAAGCTTCATTCAGATAAGGATTAAGAGTCGAGAACAGTACACCGAATCGTCTGCTTTTTCTCATAATTTAATGAAACGTCAAAGAGGGGGGTGGGGGATGGGAGGGGGTGGGGGAACTTCATTCAGCCAAGGATTACTAGTCGAAAACGGTACAATTAATCGTCTTCTTTTCCTTATAATTAAAGGAAACGTCTAAGCTTTCGCGCTTCGCGCAGGAGGCCCATCACCCACACCCCCTAATGAGCGCGCTTTTAAGTGAATTTCTTGCTCACTACCGCCCCTCCCTAAAATAAGATCCTAGCTCCGCGCCTGCATTAAAATATATAGCTATGATGCTGACTAAATTGAAGAAATATTACGTATATTTATGTCTTCGAGGAAAATGACCATTTCGCGCATATGCAAGTACTATAGATAGTCCATATGAATTTTTTTTTTAGCTTCGGCCCAGGGTTTATAGGGTTATTTGTAGATATTGAACATTTAATTTTGTCGGTAATTGGTGGCTAGTTTTGTCGGTAATCGGTGGCCTCTACATCCCCCCCCCCCCCACTAAAAAAGGTCTAGCGACGCCCCTGCCAGGAAGTGCCTGAAAATGCGTATAATTTGGTTCTAAAATTGCAAACGCTTCTTACTCTGGGAGGGGGCCAGAACCCCCTCCCGGACCCACCCCCTGCTTGGTCACTCCAATCCCTCGCCGTTAAAGCCTC